AGTAAACGTCATAATATTTATAATACATTTATATAAAACATTCTATTTAAATAAGTAGTAATATAATTATCGCAAGCAATTTTTCTATTACTTCACAAAGTAAAAAAACATTTTCCCGGAGCAACGAAGAACTCCTTTAACTTCAAATGTTTAGTCAAATCTTTCAAACGACGAATAAAATATTAAGGAATAATTTCGAATATAACAGTTAACCTAGTGGTCATTTTGTATTATTCGGTGTAACGTAAACATATCTCATAGTTAAAGAGTATATAAATTTCAAACGGTATGTCGAAATTTTTCATAACCGGAAAAAATGTTACATAGCAATTTAGAACATGAGAATTGAATAGAAAAAAATGTAAAAGTAGATGTCTCCTTCCCCCTTAATCTTCCGTTTCTGCGTGGAACAATTCACAATCTTGTTTCCCTATCGAATAGATTTTAAGTACATCATACCGAGCGCGTTACGTTGCATAGCGCAACATAACGCGCATTGGAGAGCATAAAAATCTCTAAAATATAGTTTAAAAATATGTAAATTTTAAACGGTTTGTAAAAATTTGTCATAAGTGGAAAAAATCTTGGATAACAATTTAGAATTTGACAATTGAGTAGAAAAAATAGAAAAATTGATGTCTCCTTCCCCCTTAATCTCCCGTTTATGCGTGGAATAATTCACAATCTTATTTCTTTTTCGAATAGATTTCCAGTACACCATACCGAGCGCGTTACGTTACTTGGCGCATCTGTAGACATAAAAATCTCTCATAATGTAGTTAAAAGGTATATAAATTTCAAACGGTACGTCAAAATTTGTCATAAATGGAAAAAATGTTAGATAGCACTTTAGAATTTGACAATTGAGTAGAAAAAAATGTAAAAATTCATGTCTCTTTCCCCCTTAATCTTCCGTTTATGCATGGAACAATTCACAATCTTATTTCTCTATCGGATGGATTTCAAGTACATCATACCGAGCGCGTTACGTTGCATAGCGCAATGCACCTCCGCCGCGACCAACTTTCCCAGCGCATTGTGTGATTAGTGGTCAATTCAAAAGTAACTAAGCCGTAATTGCTTTTGCCTCGGGCTTATTCTTCGCTGGTACAGACGCCGATGACACCGTAACCCTGCTTCAGCATCGGCTACATAACACCATGCAAGATAAATATCTACTTGCGTGGTTGCACGTGTCCGTAGGTAAGTACATTTCCTACGTAAACACATTGCATTGCTTGCACATGCAGATGCAAACGTATCTATTAAGCCGTACCGTAATAAAAACGAGGTAAACGATAATCTTTCTTTGTCCCTTCCATATTTAAAACCGTACAACAGCGTACAGAGCTATTTATATATTTAATACTGATAAAAAAGCTGTTCCCCAATTTCGTCGTGATGTTGCTTAATGAATTTTCGAGCTCATCGTCAAAAAATTGAAAAATCGAGGAAAACAAACTACATTTCTTCCGCCCATGGTTTGCAAATATTTTGCAACAAAATGAAAAGAAGTGCATTAAGATGAGTCACGATGAGCGCAATATTATCGATTGTATCTCCTCACCCACATTTAGGACCAAAAATGAAGTACTTTGAATACTTAAAGTGATATGAAAGTGGCGTCGAAGAGGTTTTGTTTATAAAATTTTTCTCCCAACTCGGTTTACCGAATAGCTTGAAACTTTACAACATGAATAGGAAGACTATAAGGAAGGTCCTGAAACTCATGAAATTTAAATTCTTTTCAAATTTGTTTATAGATATTTTTAAAATAGTTTATAAAAAATGAAATTTCGTGAGTTTCAGGACCTACCTTAGGGCCTCCACATTCACGTTTTCAACTATGAAAGGATTTGGGACACCCAGTTCGTAGAAAAGTTTTATGAACGATTGAGCTTCCGGATGCCACTTTCACATCCCCTTAAGGTGATATGAAAGGGTCATTCTATATACATGAAAACATTTATAAAAGTTTCCCCCAAACTGGGTGCATCAAATAATTTGAAACTTCTTCACATGATTATGAAGGCCCTAAGGAAGACCGCGATGCTCATGAAATTTCACTGTTCAAAAAAAAGAATTTTTTTATTTATCCCAGACTAGAATCGACATATTGTTTTTCGAAAAATGAAATTTCATGAGCATCGCGTTCTCCCTTATGGCCATCATAATCACGTGTTGAAGTTTCAAATGATTCGGTGCACCCAGTTTGGAGAAAAGTTTTATAAATATTTTGACGTTTTATACATTAAGCGTACCCATAAATAATCAATTTTTTTTGACGTCTAAAACACCTCTTACAAAATAATTAAATACTCACGGGTACCCCTGATATATAGAATAACCTTTTCATATCACCCTAATCCCCATAAAAAGAAAATATTCTTACATTTCACATTGTATAAAAATCATCGAGTGTACTATTAACAAAAAATTAAAATCCCGAAAAATAAACGAAACCTTCCGAATTGAAGAGATTTTTCGAAGGAATTATAATGAATGCATTAATACGAGGAGTCAAAATATGTGAATGAGGACAATATTACCGTCCCTCTCGTTACACCGTGATAAGCGTACGTGCAATATGCAAGTGGAATCGTGCGGGGGCCAAGAGTCGCGATCGATGATGGTTCAATCGATTCCCCTCGACGTCACTCGTCCGTGACGGAGTGCATATCGATTTATAAGCTCCTCCAAGTGCCCCCGGCAATTCCATTTTTTTCGACCCTGCGCTCGACCATGAATGCAAGCATCGCACGAATTGCCTTCGAGAATCAAAACGCGGTTCGAGGTACATCCGAGAATCGATGGTCCAATATCGGATCTGGATCGAAATCGGTTAATTGAAAAAAAAAGAAAAACTGAATCGAAGTTAATGTTTGCGGTCCGGAGGAGGCATATAAAAATCGAAAACGTTTTTGCGATATAATGATCAAACTCTAACTTCTGTCAGTTATGGGCTGGAATCCCGCACTTTTGCATTAGTAAAAAGAAGAAAGAAACGTGCGATTCACGCTTTGAATATAACGTGAAAGAAAAAAAATTCTTTGCAGACTTCAACGACCAAGGAAATAAGGGGGGCGACGCAAATTCTGGCTCGAGTTTGAATAATCATCGGCATATAAAAATCGAAACCGTTTTTGCGATATAATGATCAAACTCAAACTTCTGTCATTTATGGAGTGGAATTCCGCACTTTTGCATTAGTAAAAAGAAAAAAGAAACGTGCGTTTCACGTTTTGATTATAACGTGAAAGAATAAAGGTTCTTTGCAGACTTCCACGACCAAGGAAATGAGGGGGCGACGCAAATTCTGGCTCGAGTTTGAATAATCATCGGATGTAAATCTACCATTGTCGGGTTGAAGGAAAAAGTCAAAGCCTTCGCTTCCCATCCTCGACAACTTGTATCGTGCAAGAACCGAAACTCATTCAACGCAAAGCAACGCCATAGCGCATCCGACAATGAGAAACGCCGTCGAGTCGGCTCGCCTGAAGAGGTCCTAAGAAAAAAGAAGCCTCCATACCCAAGCCCCGCGGAACGTGGAATATCCGTAAATTAATCGTAGATAAATGTTTATTGAACGTATGTAAGATATATATACAAGTTCTCAAACAGACTCTGCTCAAAAAGTGTTATGAATTTAATTTCTGTTACAAATACATATGAAGATATATAGACCATCTACTGTAGATATCTACGATATATGTATATATTACGTACCATGTCCGGACATGTAGTCGATTGAGCGGATCTACAATAGAGTTCATAGATATCTATATATACTATGAACTCTATTGTATCTATGATATCTATATATATATATATATATATAGATAGATATATATATGAACTCTATTGTAGATCCGCTCAATCGGCTAGATGTCCAGACATGGTTCGTAATATATACATATATCGTAGACATCTACAGTAGATGGTCTATAGATATTCATATGTATTTGTAATAAAAATTAAATTCATAACACTTTTTGAGCAGAGACTGTATCTATATATATATCTATGAATTCTATTATATCTATGATATCTATATATATCTATGAACTCTATTGTAGATCCGCTCAATCGACTAGATGTCCGGACATGGTACGTAATATATACATATATCGGAGACATCTACAGTAGATGGTCTATAGATATTCATATGTATTTGTAAAATAAATTAAATTCATAACACTTTTTGAGCAGAATTTGTTTCTGAACTTGTTCAGGACAGCTATGCAGACAAATCCTACCGTTTTTGAGACTGTAAAATTTTTATGCAATTTTCAGGATTTGAATCCGGAAATCACAGGTAGGAAGTAGAAGCGCTAACCATGATGTTACCAAAGCCTACGAAGGAATAAATATTTCTCGGACTTATGAAGACCACACTAGTACTTCTCGCTCTATGCTAAAAATACTCGTTGTAAACTTATTCCTAAAAGAAACCTCGTAAGTGACTGTAAAATGAAGTCATTTAAAATATTGTAACAGTATGTTACAAAATCATCTTTTCATTTAGAAGTGTATTATAAAGTTGGAATTTAAATACAAACATTAAGTTCGTATGAAAAATGTTAGGTTACACGAGGTGTCTTTTTATTCTTCTAAACGTATTTTCAACGACGTTGATTAACCTTTGGTAGATGTCTACTATAGCTATTACATATTTTATATGCGTCAAGAAATAAGTAGATATTTGTAGATCAACAGTGGATATATAATTTTCATCTACAATAGNTTCACCGGTGAAAGTCGACATTCTTCAGATTTCGGTGTTTCACTGTAACATATATATCCTTTAGATATGTCTTTAGATCGACGTTAGACGATACACATTTGCTATATATATATATACCTAATTTAGACGATTAATTTACGTACATTCCACTTGATGGGTCGCCTGGGGTATGTACCGCTCTCGAGGGAACGTGCAGAAACGAAATCTCATTCCACGGATCGGCCACGTCGGAGACGGGGGTGGGTTAGATAATTACCTGCTGCACGTACCACTGGGTGGAATTCTGCGGCTTTCGGTGGGCGGGCTTGCAGGGGGCGCAGAGCAGGAGAGGGGCCAGTCGGTGCACCCCCTTAACGTCGCCCGGGCCCGGCGGGGACGTGGGGCCCAGCCCGTCATCTCCCAGCACCGGCCACAGCATCCACGGCTGAATCTTGCCGAGCTGAATTCTCACCCCGGAGATCGAGATATAAAAAAACTTCCCCCCGTTCCTCCGGATGATTTGCTATCAATCGAGCCTCGCGAGCGACATTATTTCCCGACTCGTGATAACGTTATCGCGAGATCATGCAAGGAACTCTTGCTATTGGTATTGGTCCTCGGCAACCAACTGCCCCTTTTCGTTCTGGAACAAAGATTTCAATCCTTGCCTTCAAGATAAACCTCTAGGATTTCGAAATGTATTTATTTATTTAGTTGTCCTCGTCCGGTGACGATTTCCTGCCCAGTTGGTTTCACTGCTCCGGAGGCTGAAGAGTTCTTTTGCAATACTAATTCTCGCTCAGTCTTTTTTATTTCTAATATAAGAGTAAATTCTGCACTGACCTAATTTTCCCTTTCTCATTTTTTTTTAACGGTTAGGAGGATTTAATAACAATTTCGTCGTAATAAGTCGGTTCGATCGGATGTAATTTTCCCGATGAACAATTGGCGCCTAATAGGTACTTAGAAAATCGGCGTGGGCCATCCCGCGCATTGGAAGTGATGTTAATTATTTTTAAACGCTCTTTTGCGGAAGGCCCTTATGCGCTTGAGACTCGTTGTTTTGGGACTTAATTATTTTCATTTGTATTACATTTCTTTCACTTTAAATGCCAATAATTAACTAAGAGGACGCGAACGCTCGTGAAAACATTTATACAAGTTGTGTTAGTACTAACACGGAAAGATGTAATGGATACTAAATAGCTGTAAAAAATAGAAAAGCCGGGCCTCGTTGACCCCCTCGGGGTATTCCTCGCAAGGAAAGTATTCTAGATGTACCTTACTGATTTTGTTGAAAAAAATAACAGGCACATATTCATATGTGATAATATGCGCGTTACAGGGGTTGAAAAACACCCTAAAAGTTGACCCCCAAAAGCAATTTTTTAACACTTTCTCGAAAACAGAATCGTACATAATACGCATTGTTGAAATCGCTTATTGAAACTGATGAAATTGCCGATAGTCCCGTCGAAAATTATTTCGTTTACGAGAAAATGTCAAATAATTTATTCGAGGTAATTTACATCCCGTAAACTCCCGAATTAACGCGTATAAAAAAATACGTGTATCTTACTTTTCGATGTGTTATATTGTAATATATGTCAGAATGAACAAAGTCGATGAGGTACACTTGGGATACTTTCCTCATGAGGTAATCGCGAGAGCATTTAAGGTGAAGTCAAATCCCCCTCAAATCAGTCGATTCGAATAAGACATTTTTTTAAGGGTATTGGATCGAACTGCCTGAAACTTTGACACATGACTCTTGAGCAAGTAGGAATTATCCCAACACTACAGAAATCTGGATTTTGGAAACAAAATTGTTAACTTAGTCCAGACCAAAATCAAAATGGCGTCGAGCTCCCATATTTCGATTGATATCCAATTATTGAAGACTGTAATATGAGGAACGAAAGGGTCAGGACAATTGTACGATAATTTGGAACACTATGGTAATCGAGAAACTCGTACATAAACGGGATAAATGCAAAAAAAGTGTTATATGCGATTCTATGCTAAAACGATGGGAATATGAGTGAAAATTTAGCCGACACGGAAATGACAGATGGCGCAGGGGGTTCCTCTACAGTCAATTAGGGCCTCAGAAACCATGAATCCAGATAATTTCTGGAGTGTCACTTAGATTTCTTTCTAATTATTGCACGAAAATGACAGATGGAGTATGCCATTTAGTACAATACTCGATATAATTCGATCTTGCTGTCAGTATAAAAACGAAAGTCGGCAACGTAGGTATTTAGAAAAACCTTTTTCACCGACGTCGATCAAGTTCCTCGACGTGTTTCACTCCACCTTAAAGTCTGAAACGTTTGGTTCGCCCTCCCTTAACGGGGTGACAAATTACGGCGGCCGGCCCTTTTTCGCGAAAAAATGGCCGATAAAGCGCGTCAGAAAAAAAGTGGGGCAATCTCGTCCGGCTAATTAGCGATGAAAAGCGACTCGGGGGCTGGGGCAATTGACCCCTTCGCGAGCTTTCCGGGGGGTCTCGACCCTGGGTCAACGTTTCCATTGTTTCCCCCGACGCACGCACTTGCGTAGTCTCCGACGCGAGTGCGGACACTTCTGACCCACGCCTGCTTGGCAATGCAAATGGTCATTTCCTCGTTAACAATTAATCGCTACGTGGTCAGCAGCTCGACGCATCCGAGGCCAGGCCCAACCACGCAAATTCCTGGTGAATAAAGCTCTAAAAGGAAATAAAGACCCAAATTGGAATCAAAGCTGTATCTAAAAAAAAATCGGGAATTTTGACGGTGATCCTCCTGAGATATGCATTGCGAATTAATTTCCTCGTTAATAATTATTCGCGGCTTAATCAGCGCTCGGAGCATCCGAGGCCGGCCCCAGCCACGCAAATTCCTGGCGGAGAAAGCCCTAGGAGAAAATAGGAAAGATGAAAAGATCCAAATTGGAATCAAAGCTGCATAAAAGAAAAACGGGAATTTTTACGGTGATCCTTAAGGGATCCGCATCGCGAATTCATTCCCTCATTAATAATTATTCGCGGTTTAACCAGCGCTCGGAGCATCCGAGGCCGGCCCCAACCACGCAAATTCCTGGTGGATAAAGCTCTAGAAGGAAATAAAGATCAAAATTGGAATCAAAGCTGCATCCAAAAAAAACGGGAATTTTGACGGTGATCCTCAAGGGATCCACATTGCGAATTAATTTCCTCGTTAATAATTATTCGCGGCTTAATCAGCCCTCGGAGCATCCGAGGCTGGCCCCAACCACGCAAATTCCTGGCGAAGAAAGCCCTAGAAGAAAATAGGGATCCAAATTGGAATCAAAGATGCACCCAAAAAAGAACGGGAATTTTGATGGTGATCCTCCTGGGATCTGCATTGCGAATTAATTTCTTCGTTAATAATTATTCGCGGGTTAACCAGCAGCTCGACACATCCGAGGCCGGCCCCAGCCACGCAAATTCCTGGCGGATAAAGCCCTAGGAGAAAATAAAGACTCAAATTGGAATCACAACTGTATCTAAAAAAAAAACAGGAATTTTGACGGTGTTCCTCCTGGGATCTGCATTGCGAATTAATTTCCTCGTTAATAATTCAGCCCTCGGAGTATCCGAGGCCGGCTCTAACTACTCAAAGTTGAGGCAGAGAAACCACAGAAAAAAGTTACCGAAAAAAAAAAACAATCAAATTTGTTGACTATGCAGGTGTATTCTCCCTCGAGAATCTCGTTAAAAGTTAATTACTGAACGGCCAGCGCTCAACGTATTCGACGGCAACTCCGTGTACGCCAAACTCATGACGGAAAAATCCCTCAAAAAAAAAATACGCTCGTCATGAAGTTAAAATTTCTCTGGTATCCCCATTGACTATTAATAGTTTCTTTTTCAGCGTTCACCGACAGTCTAAAGCTGTACAGATTCTCTCACAGAGATTATAGAGAAATATCGCCAAGTAAAGAATGTTTAAAAATGTCCCTAGATAAATAGAATTTCTGACGATGAAGGTATTCCCATAAGATCTGAGTCAACAATTAATATCCATGTTAAGATGAAGTAAAACCCCCCTCAAATCAGTCGATCTGAATAAGACATTTTTTTTTTAAGAGTATTGAACCGAACCGTCTAAAACTTTGACACATGACTCGTGAGCACATAGGAATTATCCCAATTCTATCGAAATTTGGATTTTTAAAACAAATTTTTAAACTTACTCCACCTCAGAACCAAAATGGCGTCGAGCTCTCATATTTCGATCGATATACAATTATTGAAGGCTCTAATATGAGAAACAAAAGTGCCAGGACAATTGTACGACAATTTAGAACACTCTAGTAATCGAGAAAGTCGCATTTGAACGGGACAAAGGAAAAAAAGTGTTTCATGCGTGGCTATGCTAAAACAATGGTAATATGAGGTTTCGGTGGGAAAATTTAGTTGACAAGGAAATCACAAATAGCGCATGTGGCCCCTCTGCAGTCAATTAGGGCCTCGGAAACCATGAATCCAGGGGATTTTTGGAGTTTTACATCGATTTCTTTACATCTATTGTTTCAAAATTACAGGTGGAGTATGCCGTTTAGTACAACACCCAATATAATTCGATACAGCTGTCGATATAAAAATGAACATCGGCAACGTAGGTATTTAGAAAAATTTTCTTTATTGATGTCAATCAAGTTCCTAGACGTGTTTCACTTCACCTTAACAGTTCATTGTTCGTGATGTTCTGCATCCCGGAGTAGTCTCAATTACAAATGAAAATTACAGGTGGAGTATGCCATTTAGTACAACACCCAATATAATTCGATACAGCTGTCGATATAAAAATGAACATCGGCAACATAGGTATTTCGAAAAATTTTCTTTCCCGACGTCGATCAAGTTCCTCGACGTGTTTCACTTCACCTTAACAGTTCATTGTTCGTGGTGTGCTGCATCCCGGAGTAGTCTCAATTACAAATGGAGTATGCCATTTAGTACAACATCCAGTATAAATCGATACAGCTGTCGATATAAAAATGAACATCGGCAACGTAGGTATTAAGAAAAATCTTCTTTCCCGACGCCAATCAAGTTCCTCGACGTGTTTCACTTCACCTTAGTAGTTCATTGTTTGTGGTGTACTGCATCCCGGAGTAGCCACAATTACACAGACGGAAAGAAAATTTGCATTGAAAATAAAATGAAAAAAGTGTATCCGGAAAAATTGAAGTTTTTGATGGTACAGGTACTCCCTTGGGATCTCCGCCGAAGCTAATCCATGGGAAGTTGATTATGACAGAAGAATAAATGACTTCCGCAAACTCGAATAAAAGCGAGCCCATGGAGGCGAGAATTTCTCGTAGAAAAAAAAAGTGTCACGAAAGCCCGATACGCGAAAGGACAATCTGTTCGTCCAAGGCCTCGAGGAATTCCATTTTCCCGAGGCAATTGAACTAATTTCCTCGGTCCATTTCGCGAGGCATGTTCTCCGTGGCCTAGAAAAAAAAAAAAAAAAAATTCGAATCGAAAGGCAGGGTTCAATCAGCACCGGACGAATTCGCTTAATCGAAACGAGCTCGCGATGAGAGGGATGTGCGAATTTTTTAATCGAAACGAGCTCGCGATGAGAGGGATGTGCGAATTTTTTAACCGGAACGAGCCGCGAAGAGGCG